CCACTACAAGCGACGACCATAACCTTTGAAGACATATGTACCTATTCCTCTTCCAGTCGGATGGTACTTACGGCACAAACCATTAACATATTAAAACAAATATTCATACTTTCAATTAAATATTTAATTTGTTATAATAAAAAATTGAAGTAATTGCAAAGCCAGATTTTTAAATATTTTTTTATGCTATACAATTAAGTGACGTACAAATTTTAAAACCAACTCAAGTCAATGCCTTCCTTACCACTAAATATCTTAGGTATATTTTTGGCAAGAAATGTCCATTTCAACTTATCTGATTTCGAGAAAGCACTTTTTATAAAAATAAAAACATTTCAGTAGCTAATTTTAAGAATAGTTTTTTTTTTGCCAAAACATAAAATGGCAAACACAAAAAAAAAATATTTAAAATTTAATTAACTGAAAGCCACACGATTAGTTTCAAAAATACAGTACCAACTTTTATCAAAAAAAAAAAACTGTTGTGTAAATTCAGGTATGCGTCATAAATCTTTTCGACGTTACCCTCCTCGTTCAAAACAAAAATTCTTATCGCCAATTTTTCTTTGCTCCTTTTTCCTAAAACGTCTACACACAACAGGCAAATGAAGTTCAACGCACTCCAATTTAATATTTATTTTATAATTTCGTACACATTTTATTCAAGCAGAAAATACGAACAGGTTTTTATTTCGTTTTTATCAGTGAAAGTCACAAGGTTATAAAATAAATACAATAAACGAAAAATTTGGGGCACAAAAACTTAAATATTAATTCAAAAAAAAATATGTTGCTGATAAGCATTTTTTTATTCAGTTTTATTAAACGAACATAATGAAATTAGTCGCACAAATAAGGTATTTGAAAAATGTACATATTATATACTCACTTAGTTAATAATGTAAAACTCAAAATGCGTTCTGAAACTTTAAAATATTTCAAACATTAAAGCATTGATTATTCCAACCTCTTACTGCTGCATTCAAAGACCCATCTTTTAGAGAGCTCAAAAACAAATATATATGCATGTAAATATATAAATGTATTTTCTTAATTGAACCGCTCTCGGAACGTACTAATTTATAACGTTTCATTCATCAAATGTACAAAGTAATAGCAGACTAAATGTCAAAACTTGCCGGCAGTAAATTTTTATGAATATGCGAGTGCCATTGAAAATCACAAGCAACATGGCTTAATATTCATATTCAATTAAATGACCGACTTAAGCGGTTCTAATTGCGATAAGCGCTATTAAAAATAGCAGCCGTTAAAATTGTTTGTGAAAAAACAACAACACTAACGAGAAAAAGAAGAAGATGTGATTCACTAATAAACTAACGAGCTATGTTTGGGAACAACATTAAACGAGTGTGAAATACTAAATGCTAGCAACTACAACAAACACAAAGGCATATAAATTATATATATATATATATATGTATATTATATACCACCGGCTAACATATGATTGATATAATATATTTGTTTATATAAACTCAATTGTATAAAAAGCATACTTTTAGGCATAGATTTAGGCGCTCTTACATATTTACATCTAACATTTCTTACTGAGCTTTTTAACGCAAATTAACATTTTTAGCGAGCAACAAAAAGCTGTTCTGTTAAATATGTAATGTTGCTGCGCCTTGAGTGCTGAAAATAAAAATTAATTTTTTTATATTCATACTTGAGCTCAAGAATTTTCTTGCACACTTTCGAGCAGCTCAAGCATTAGAGTTAAAAATAATCGCACTTGCGTTCGTTGATCATTGCTCGAAAAATTTCCAGCAGGAGTTCAAGCTAACTCGATCTTTTTCGCGGACTTCGAGCAAGCATTTTGACTTTTTCTCATAACTTCTTTCTATAATTTGAAATTTATTTGTGTAAAACGAAAAACTCATTGAAATGCGGAAAAAATTTTGGCAAGAAAAAATTTTAAATAAAAAAATTTCAAATATCCATTTGAGCAGTTGGACAGTGAAGGAGTAGCGATGAGCAGCGAACAATTTTATTATTAAACGGCTACGGGTTCAGTTTGAGCGTGAAAAAGTAGAGATTTGAATGGTGGGTTTGGCTTACTTCATGGGATTCATATTGGAATTTTCGTGAAAGACTTTGAAGAGCGAAAAGTGACCCACATATACAAATAAAAAGTTGCGTTATTATTTATACTATTATTTTTCCCACCGGCCTACCTCCGGTTAATTGTTTTCATACAAAAGTACAATATGTGTACAACATTTGATGAAAATCTGAATGAATAATAGTACAAGTTAAGGCGTAGGCAGTGTCGTGAAGTAGACCTTCCACAAGGAAGTGCTTTCGCGGTAGTCATGATATCTTTTTCAACTTTTATCTGAAATCAAAAATCCAAATTTTGTCTTAAAGTAGGTGAATTTCCCTTGTCCCTGAACTAATAAAAATTCAAAAACTAAAAAACGTAATTTTTTGCATAAAATTAGGCCACATATTGGCTTGTTAAATGAGTTGAAATCAAAGATAAAATAAATCCTTCGTTCAGGTACTACAAAAATTTGCTTAAAGAAGAAGAAAACTGGAACTCCATCGCTAAAGCTTCGCCATCAGTCAAGTCATGACAAGGACGGCGGATTATAAAACTCTCTAATTTCTACAGTTTTGCCTCGATCGACTTGCAACTTGGAAAAAATATTCCTCGCACATTGTACATTTATACAAAAAGTTCAAAAAATGAATTTTTCGAAGTTTCAAGACAAATGTAACCCCCTTAATTCAAATATAAAAAGATATTTCACCTATAAGCGGACGCGCGGTCATTTGTAACAGCAGCGGTCGGGCGCTATCAAAAAAAAACCGCCTATAGGATATATTTGCGAAATATTATACTAATTAATTAATTATTGTTTATTTTTTTGTATTTAGATTTATATTGTGTGTCGACCCAAGTTATCGAAAACAAATAACTTAAATTTAGAAAAAAAAAAAACAATTATAATATCAAATAACATAACTCAATAATATATTTATGAACGAAAACGATGGTTTGATACCGGGGGCTGCTGGTAGGTTAATAATTAATTGAGGGTCGTCAATATTGTTTTCTTAATATTAAAGAGCAACTCAGATATGTCACTAGTGCTAAAAGTAGAGTTGAAATCATAACTCAAATAATGTTTTTCTAGATGTAAAAGACTAACGGTACGCTGAATTACATATCACAAAGAATAAAAGAACTAGATATTGAAAATGAGAGCTCCAATGAAAATTCCTCAAGGCAAAAAGAAAGAATGAATTCTTTCCTTTCCTTCTTTCGTTCAGAGTAGATTTGTTACCTCAGTTTTAACTCCGAATTACCAAGACGTATTATAGAATGGATCTTCCTAATGCTTTATATAAAGCTTTAGTCACGTAAGGGTCTTTCCTTTAGCCACTATTTTACACACGTCAATATGCTAAAGGCTTTGCTGAATGGCATACCAATATAAATATGAGAGCTCAGAGAAGCAACGTTCAAAAAAACGAGCAACGTTTTCCGAATAATAAAAGCACATTTCTTGAAATTTTTGGATATTTAGGCGCAACTCACTTATTTTGCACTATTCTACATGCTGTTTAGGTCCGCTTGTAGCGAAATACCTTCATTTGACGAAGTGTAAGATTTAAAAAGTTGTGCATCATCTGAATACATTAAAATTTTGGAAAAATTTATCTCAGAAGAAATGATATTTCTTGATACAATAAATAGTGAAAACAAAATCGAGCCTAAGTGACCACCCTCGGTCACTACTGTAGGAACCTTATTGGACTCTGAAATGGAAATTTTAAACACTGTTCTTTGAGTGTGATCACACAGGTTTGCATTCTTGTTTTTCCCCTTTTACAACAACAAAATACCACATAAATTGGAAGATATTTTAAATGAAAATATTTTACTTATATTATTTACTCAAAAACTATTTATTATAAAAGCAATAGCGCGTCATTCATTTCTTTTATCACTGTTTGAAGGCAGTTGAAATTACCAAGTGAAACCAGGCCACTCTTCACCTGATCCTTCCAATGGAATGAAGTTCTTCCTCTTTTTCTACTTCCAGCTGCGGGTACTGCATTAAATACTTTCAAAGCTGGAATGCCTTTATTCATCCGGACCACATGATCTAGCTAGCGAAGGCGGTGTTTCTTGATTCGCTGAACTATGTCAATGTCGCCGTGTATTTCATACAGTTCGACATTCTATATGCTGCGGTATTCACCGTTACAAACACGTGGAATATCACTAATCTTACAAAAACTCCTTACGCCTTCCGTACTGCAGAATTGGGACGAACAGCGAGCTGAAGATAACGATTAGGTATGGTCGTGCCATGATAACCGACTATTTTTTATCTGAAATTGAAGCTCGTGGTCGCGGCAACATTAGGTTTCAACAAGACAGCGCCTTTTCCCCACACATCGCATCAATAAAACGTTATATTGAGAGAACACTTCGGCGAACAGATAATTACAAGTTTTTGGCCGTTCTGGGGACATGTAAATTATAAAGTCTAGGCGGACAATACCGCTTTAATTCTGGACTTGGCGCAAACCCCAAGAGAGTCCTCGAAAGTTGGGCTGAACGGATGGACCATCTGAGACGTAGCCGCGGCCAACGTTTGAAATAGATAATCTTCAACAAATAAATGCCACAGAATGTTCCTTCGAATGATAACATACGTTCCCCATTAAATTTGAATTTTATGTGTTTTTTCATTAAAAAAATAGGAAACCTCGAGATGGATCCCTCTTTATATCAAAGCGAGGGAAGAGGAGAGCTTAACGACTCTTCAAACGGCTAATACTAAGAGTATAATATACAAAAAATTAGTTTTTGCTAGATTTAATTGGGTTTTCCTTTTTTGGGGAAGTTTCAGCATTTCAACAATCGAAATATTATAACATATATTATGATAATGATAACAACGCAATGAATTCCCATAATTGGTAAAATTTAATTTCCGCCCAATTATTAAAAAGAAAACTTGTCTTGTACGAGAATTTTTTATTGCGATTTCGTATTGTACAACGAAACTCATTAGCAGAAGTTGACCATTGTTACCTTTTTTTTAATCATTGTGCTTCTTTTTTCAAAATCTCTGCTAAGTCACGGTAAATACAATCAATTCTGGCGCGTAATCACAATATCAGCTGGTTGTTGGAGAATCGCAAAGCGAGCAGCATTAACACCGTCATCTGTAAGACCCGAGATCGAATTTAAAATATATTAATATCTCACTTTCGCATTTTCAATACGCATCACTTACATGTAATTGTTGGATGGTAACCGTTTTCATCGGCAGTGTACTTGACAATAACCCGCATGCCATCGGGCGTCACATATGAATAAGAACCTTCAACCACTTCCTTTTGCTCTTCAGTGCCTAGTTTTACCGGTACACCACGCTCCTCAGCTTGTATGCCATTCTCTGTTTCGTATGAGTATGTATAGGTGCCATCATGATTTTGCTCTACATCCTGTTGTAGGATACGTGCTTGTGGTGCTGTTACATCAGGATTATATTTCTTGAAGAGATTATCATAGTATTGGCGATTGTAATAGTCGCGATTTTTATAGAAACGGTTATTATAGTATAGATCATTGGTGTAGGGATTATAGCGGCCGCGACTATCGAAACGAGAAGGGCTGTTAGTTGGGGCGGTAGAAGCAGCCTGTTGTGCGACAGTCAGAGTGAAGTAGGCGAAAGCAAGGGCGCTGAAAAGGTAAATCTATAAACGAAAATGAGAAAAAAAGTTTTAATTAGAATTAATTTTAATCTTAATCGTTTCTTATTTCATTTATTATATTATTCTTTATGACAATTATATTTCATTTTACATATTCATATTTTATTGTACTTTTTGTTAACTTTAATAAGATAACTCCTGCACTTTATTTTATTTTGTTTAATTTTTCTTTTATTTTGTTTTACTTTTCTTTATTCATAAATTGTATTTTACTTTCTTTAATTTTATTTTCTTTTATTTTTTAAGTTTTTTTCCATTTTATTTCTATTTTTTATACTTTTATTACATATATTATATTATTTTAAAATTTTTCAATTTATTTATTTTCCTTTGTTTTACTTTATTTTATTTTATTTATTTGTTTTGTTTTATTTTATTTCACATCACTTTATTTAATTTAATTTTATTTCATTTTAATTGATTTTATTTTATTTCATTTTATTTTATTTTATTTTATTTTATTTTATTTTATTTTATTTTATTTTATTTTATTTTATTTTATTTTATTTTATTTTATTTTATTTTATTTTATTTTATTTTATTTTATTTTATTTTATTTTATTTTATTTTATTTTATTTTACTTAACTTTATGTTGTTTTTTATTATTTTATTTGACTTTACTTACTTTTCATTTTATTTCATTTCTTATTATAGTTTACCTTATTTAATTATTATTGTATATTATCTCATTTCCATTATTTTCTCTAAATTTATGTTTTTGTGTATTATTTCATTTTATATTATTTTATTTGTTTTTTTTATTAATATGTTTTTTTCTATATTAATTGGTCTTATTTTAATATTTTTAATTTTCTTTATTATTATTATTTTGTTTTTATTTACATGTTACTTAAAAAACCAAGTTCAAAATATATTTACCGTTTTGTTCATTTTTGAAACTCGTATTATTTTTAACTCAAGTTCCTCTTCTCTATGAAAAGATGCAAGCTCTAATAAAACTTTGAGGCAACTGTGAAATTCCAATATTGACATTCCCATTTTATACTCAAAAATTTTTGTAAGTCATAAATATTCCCTTAGAAAAAAATATTTTCTAATTTACGGCACCCATTTTCAGCATGAACAGTAAATTAGCTTAACATACATGGAGTCATTTAATACAAATGTTGGTGTCAAGTGGCACCCGCTGAGTGAAAATATACGCACATCTCAGGTGATATTATTGGATTGAATTTGGCAAGCTTCATCCATTTTCAAAGGTAATTTCCGTTAAGAATTTTTAATGAATTTTTCTAATTTTTTCCACACTATGCCCGTACATGCAGACTCATGTGTCCGAAATATATACGGTTTTGCAAATAAATTTGTTAGAAAATATCATAAAGAGTGACAACATTTTAGAACAGCTTCACATATGCAAATACTCAGCACAGCGGATGCGATGATTGTGTAAATATTTCCAAGCACCACGTTGCTATATTCCACAAAATATTATTTGTATTTATTGTGACTTTTATTTGTGCCATTTTTAACTCCAACCAATTAAATTGGCGGTGGCAATGCTGATGAGCTGCCACGCCACGGATTTCGTTCATTTATTATCTTACCTTTTAAGCAATTTAAATGAAAAAAAAGAAAAAATTAAAACTAACACTTGGATCGGCATAAATTTTTATGATGATCATGCATACGCATATCATACTGAGTTTATCATTTGTGGGCTTGAATTCCCCAAAATTGATGACTTAATGGCTTCGCTTCGCAGTAAAGTCAAGCAGTGGACAGCCAGCAGACACCCTCATTTTTTCAATGTGCTTTGCTTGGTTTTTGCAATTATAAACGGCAAATGTGTTAATATGATTTTGCAGTGTATATATTTGCATAAACAAACAAACATACATATATGGAAATAAAAATATTAAGAACAGCATAGAATAAACAAATGCAGCAGAAGCATTTGAATTTTATTGGAGAAAAATGAAAAACCGACAAGCGTTTAACTCAACTATTGACTGAGTGGCCAATGGTCAAGTAGCACATAAATCACAGATGTTGCTGCACCGGTTGTTGCAACAATTTGACAACGCCGTTTCTCCATACAGTGCAATAAAATATAGTCATTTTTAAGAAAATAAGGTAAATGGGGAAATTATTCTTAAAACATTTTAACCATTTCCAGTCATTTTTTTTTTTTTGTATATAATCCTGTTTTGTCTATAATTATAGACAAAAGCATTATGTGAGTTAAATTGTGCATATAAAAAGTTTTATTAGAAAGGTGAAGTTCCAAACAATTTTCTCATCTTAAGAATTTGCCTTACAACAAATAGCCGTATTCTCAATCAAAGTCTGCTTTCTAAATTTAAATTTTTACGAACATTATTTTATGCCCTTTACAGACTCATATTTTGAAAAAAGAAAAAAAAATATACATATTTCATTAACCAGAAAATGTATATGTATTTAATACAGGGCCTCTACTAGCAGCACGACCGACGTAATGGCTGAATAATCTCCGTAGGACACAGTAGGACCATATACCACTTCCCTAACGCCTTCCCACACAACTACTGGAAAATAGATGAGCTGGGGCGACAATAGTAATGCTCGAAGGTTTCAATACCGGGGAGAACTCATGTAGGTAGCAAAGTGGCAGCCACCTGCAACTCAGGCTTAGACGTTCCATTACCTGAATATGATCCGATGAGAATAACGATTGCTCGTTTCAAGACCAAATAGCAGTTGGACCCAATGGCTTATCAGCAGAGTTATTTAAACATCGACAATAAACTGATTGGACCTTACCAGTATGGCTTTCGTCATGGTAAATCAGTCATTAACCATATAGTTTCCATGCACCAAATCTTGGAAAAGAGCCGTGTGTACAGAATCGATACACTTCACTTTTTCAATGATTTTAAAAATGCATTTCATTCGTGACTCTTCTCCCACGTCGCTGTTACAATTTCGAATATCTAGGAACCAGCATTAACGTCAATAGTAATATCAGTCGTACAATGCCACTTAGGACTGAGTAGACAAATGGAAAGCAAAGTCCTCTCTAGACGAACTAAGACCAAACTCTACAAGCCCCTCATCATTCCCGTCCCGCTGTATGTTGCAGGAGCGTGGACGACGTAGGAAGCCTATAGAAAGATGAGTTGCACTAGTTATACGATGACATTGATATAGTTCAAGGAATGAAGAGGCAGCGACTACGCTGACTAGGGGATCTCGTCTGAATAAATGAAAGCGCTACAGCTTTGAAAGTATTCGATGCAGGAGCCGCTGGTGGAAGGAGAGAAAGCTGAAGACCTCCACTATTAGTTTATACGAAAATATACCTGAAATGCAAACTTTTAAAGCATTTTTTCTACTTGAAAATAGGATTGAATTTTAATTAAATTTTTCTTCTGAAATGATTTTGTTACAATTATATATATTTCTAGAAAGTATTCACTTTAAGGTAATACTCACTACTATTTATAAGCATTTCAATCATTAAAATATTTTGCTTCAGATTTTTAGTAAAAAAAACAGAGCCTTGAGGTTTTTTTAAATACTACTTTGATGCCCACTGAAAAGAAATGCTAAATCATAAAACAAAAGAAAATCCTAAAACTAATTGTCTGGTAAGAAATATTTTAAGAAACAAACAAACGAGTATATTTATGTATTATATATAAAGAAATATTCGTTTGTGTCCTTATGAGTAAAGGGCTTGACAGCAGTCAAACTTAGTTGTAAAGCCAAACATACCTTGTTTTAGTTAATAGTCAGGATTTGAAATTCTTAAAAGCTGCCACAAAAACGGCGATAAAGCGTTGCCCGGTTTCTGCTTTAAGTGGAGATTATCTTGTACCTAATCATCTACTCAACTACTCTAGCAATTGGTAAAATTTAGAAAATTTGAGAGGCTCGGATACAGCTCAAATATCGCTATTGTAAGTGAAAGTATATCCGAGGATCCGAGTGTGTATATTTTCCGACTTTTTCAAGAGCTGGCACTTTCTTACGGCTCATGATGACGTATTTTATGCTTGGTTTTATGTCTATATCCATACTAGCAGGCGTATTCTGTACACTTGAAAACCATCTTGGTTATTTATCAAGATTTATCAAGATGTTTGTATTCTGTGTCATAAATGAAAAGCTCTTTTTCTTGATAAATTGTCAAGATGCCAAGTGTTCTTGACAGTGTTTTTTCTTTAACAACTAAAACATCTATTCACTGTTAGTTACATATTAGCGAAATTTGCCGTCATCCCATAGATCAACTGGCCGTAGAGGATATCCGAAAAATCTCACTTCTTTAAAAATGACAACAGCGAGATGGTCACTGTCAATATGGAACATTATAGTAGCGTGATAACCAACTTTTTTCGCTATGCATTTGAAGAACAACAAGATGGGGCCCCACAACACGATCGAATATGGCTTTATTCCGAGAAAAATCCGCGTAATCTGCCGTCTTGCCGATGTCAGTGCCACCGATTGTGCGTTTAAACACCGTTGCATTCTTTTTTTTGGCTATGCGAAAGACCGTGTTTATACGAATGAACCTTTAACTCCTGAGCACTTGAAAACCAGCACTCGTCAATTATGGCTGAGATACTGTCCAATCAATCTGATGAAAATTTGCTGAAATTTACGATTATTTATAAAATTTTCTTCTATTTAATCTGCATCAATCTACAGTGCATACAATGCAATATGAAGCTAATCAATATTCAAATATGTGCAAGAACAACGAAAAAACGACACACCAACAGATATAATATCATAAGCATTTGTTAATGGAAAAAGTTATGCGAACAAAATCAACGAGAGTGACAAACAACGCTAGTAAATGGTGACAGCAATCACAACAGGTAACCGCATACAAACACAACAAAAAAAAAACAATAATAATAACAACAACAACACACATTGCAATAGCAACAACTATGAGCAAACAAACGGATTTATGACTAAAGCACTTGCAGCGGCCAACAGCAGCAGCAGCAACAAATAGCAGAGAAGAGTGCAGCATACCAACAACCGGCTATGAGACATGCACAAACAGCAGAACAAATAGCAAATATCAATAACACTGTTAAAGGCAACACCATGGATGGTCATATAAGAAGAAGCGCCGTCCGCTGTGGCAACTTGTTAGTGGCAAATGCAAAAAAACAATAAGAATTAAAACACAAATGAATGAATTTAATAAAATAAAATTATAATTCAAGCAAGAATAATAACAACAACAGCAACAACAAAACAATTATATAAACAAAACTAAGTAGATATGTATTTCAATTTAATAGCCATACTCGTATAGCGTTTGGCCATTGTTGACCTTCACATTTAAAACGGTCGCCTGCAAGACAAGACTCGGTAGATATACATACATATATGGCCACACTCCCCCCTGTATGTGGGCAAACATTGAAGCGCTTGCGAAATGTTTAGTATTCTTTTAATTGTAATTTAATTCACACAAATTACTTGTAATGCATAACTGTACACAATATAATTGTTTGCTATTTTATATCTATGTATGTACTTATTAGTTAAAGAAAAAAATACAATAAAAATTATAAATAAATAAATTGCATAAAATATTAAGAAGTATTAAAGAATTAAAGAAATTGCAATTTCAGCGTGCACACCTAAGGCGCTTATAAATTGAGGCATTAAAGCGTTACATGTGTGTTATACATATAGACAAACGGTACACACTTGTATGTATGTATGTTTGTGAATTGCCCAATCGATGTGGGCGTGCACACCGTCTAGCCAAAACTCAAATAAGCCTACGAAATTTGAAAAATTTACGTATCTACATATGTGCATACACATGTATATATGTACGTGTGTATGCAAATTGATGAATTTGAAAATTATGTATTCTATTAGTATGCTAAATGTCTGTTTATTTAAATTAATTTGACACTACATTCGCTAATGAGTGTGAGTATGTAAGGCGCAGTCATCTGTCTATTTATGGCAAATGGTGATTAATAGTTTATTAAAAACGTTACTTAATTATTTTTCAGCTATTTATCTTACATATGAACTACTACAAAGCTTATGAAGTGCTTAAAAAACTTTTGGAATAATTTGGTAAGAATTCAATTCCAAGGAAGCTTAATTAAAAATTCTTAATCGGAAGACCATAACTGAAACACGATAATTGCGTTTGATACCAGGATAGCAGCCGACCATTGAACTTTCTTTCTAATTTGCTTATGAAGGTAATTTTGTAATACGATGACGCAGTAGAGTAGGATTGCTCTAACTATATATGTATAATTGGCGCTACGCAACCGCTGAAACAATTTTTGGCCTAGCTTTTCCTCTGATTTGTGGCGTGAGTTTTGATGTTTTTTTTTCAACAAATGGAGGTGACCTAATGTTTATACTAAGCCGCCTGCCAACTACTGATGGCTTTTGTAATTATTTCATGTCAAAAACACATTCAAAAGGGTTGATATTACTTGCCGATTGGTGACCGCAATTGGAAAATTTAAGTTAATTTTTTATTTAAATTAATTCTCTATAATTTTCGGATGTTAATCGCACCAGGATTTAAGCCCTGGCAACCACTCGCTCGTGCTAACCACTCGCCCTTCGCGTTTACCCAGAAATACACAATCTTAAATAATAACAGTCGTTTGATATTAGAAATTTAGTTTTTTAGTCTCTAAGTCATTAGCTTGTCCTTTTTTTTTCTTCACTGGAGTATGCATAGCTTGCGTTATAATAGCTAAAATATTTACATTTGCTCCTTTTCTTCACTGGTTGGTGCCATTATAAATACCAAGTGGAACCAGCTCGCTTACCATCCGAGGCTCCCAATAGATTGCTTCCACCAACGGCTACTGCATAGAATACTCTCAAAGCTAGTATGAGTTCCTCCACGTGGATGTCATAATCTAGCCTTAATCTAGACGTGTCTTGATACGTTTAACTATAGCATTGTCATCGCATAACTCGCTCCATCGACTGCCATATTCGTCGTTGCCGATAGGAAAAGGAGCGGAATCTACTATCAAACCTTTCTCTCGAAATTGCCAACTAATCGTACATCGAAATCTTTCACGCTATCGAATATACGGAGGACAGAAATAATGAGCGACCTGTAGAGATTAGTTCCGTTCATTGGGAGAGGATTATACATTTCAACAGCCTACTCAGTTCAAAAGACCACCCAAAGGCATGAGCAGTACTGCGTTGGATGTAAAGGCTGTCTTTGTTATTAGAGTTAATGCTGGTTCCTAGAGAGACGAAATTGTCTAAGACTTCGAAGTTAGGACTGTCAACTGTGGCATGGAAGCCAAATCGTGAACGCAGTAAATTTCATTTGGTGCCATCAAATATTTCGACTTGTCCACTATCACTCAATTCCAGACCAATTGGCCTTGCTTCCGTTTCAAGTCTGGAAGGAACATAACTAACAGTGCGGTTGTTAAGGAGTATGATATCAATGTCACCGGCATACGGCAGCAACTGTAGTGGTTTGTAAAAGACTGTACTTTATATATTTAGCTATACAGCTCATACTAGCTTCGATTGCATCAAATAGAAGAGATTTTCAGATAACAGTGTACCCCTCATATATTAAGTATGATATGAACATCAACCGATTACTTCCTTAGTGCCTACATAATTAACACTTCACACTTTCTGTAAGTCGTCGAATCTTTCCATGGAAGTTTCGAACATTATCCTTATTAGAAAAACATAATAACTAAGCAGTTCTCTTTGAACTCGGTATGGCTGTCTGAGCACAATAATATTCCTGATAAAGAGATGGCTGACAGAGGAAGAGCACTTCCCTTACAGTTGCATCATTATGGAAGAGTTTGGACATGCCGCTCTCTGCTTATAAACTCCCTATTTGTAAGAGGTGCTAACTCAAAATGGTGAGCGGAATAGAACAGAAGGAGATCACTTGACCTTATCGACCTAAAAATAAAAGAGATATCAACAGTAAAAGGTATTATTGGGCAGGCACGGGTAGAGGTTGACTGTACCTTCTAATGACTTCAGCAGAAGCTGCAAGGAAAAAGAGATGCCTCATGATACCTTAAGACACTGGTAGTGTAATCACAATGGATTCGTTTGGTAGCCTAAGAGAGTTGATGTCCGGCAACCACTTCAACCAACCAACCAAAATAGATCAATTTTGAATAATAACTAAACTAAATAAAGGAATAATAGCAGAAGAGAGAAAATAAGAGAGGAAGAATTTTATTTCGAAAATGTCTTTTTAAGCACATAACTTTTTATATACTCGAATACACTCGATCCTGCTTTAATATACAAATGAGCTGAGCCGATAATTTTTAAATATTTTTTGCAATGTTTCCTCAAAATACAAGTTCACTCAAAGTCTTATGTTAACCAAAATTTTACCAGTTGACGAACTATTAGCTAAACACAAAGTTTAAATCGCTATCCACGGTTACTAATCTGAAAAAGCCATACTCGTATACCATAATTACGGCATTTGGATATTACATGCAAATATACATATGTAAATGCATATTAAATATTCACAGATATCCGCGGCAATTTTAATATGAACGAATTGTCAAGTTCGGGCTGAAAACGAAAACGAGGATGACAGTTGCAGTAACCAAAATTTGCAAATATGCAAAAAAGCAAAAATGTATATAAGTATGTATGTCCACATGTGTATTTATGCTTCAAATACTCACAGTTAGGTTCGCGTCTTAAGTCTTTCGTTTTCGTTAGCTAAACGTTTAGCATAAATAGCTTAATGCCAATTTACAAATATGCAAATATTTGATGTTGTTGTTGTTCTTGTTGTTTTTGCCTTTTTGCTTCATAATTTTAACTTTTAAATACGTAGACACGACGAACGATTTAAAGTAGCTAATAAAAATTAGCCACGCCTGCCACCAGCATACCTAAAATAACTGTTCATAATAGTGTACGTTACGGCGTAATGCAGTCCGTATTACATCATTGTTTATTATCTCAAAGGTATTTAAAAAAAACACACAATAATTAAATTTGTGGTTAGTAAAACGAACTTTAAATTTACGATTTTGTCCCTCTCCTTAAGGGTGACAATAAAATTTAAGTGCGTAGCTGCTGTTTGGGGTATTTACTTTTGCACGGGTAAAATAAAAATAAAATAAAATAAAATAAAATAAAAATAATAAACCAACAAGATTTAAAATGAAATAAAATCAACCAAAATAAAATATGCAAATAAAATGAAAAATGAAATAAACGTGTAAATCAACAAATAATAAATTTTGAAAAAAAAATTAATAAAAAAGCATAAAATGAAAAAAGACAATAAAAAATAAATTAAACAAAAATAAACTAAGAAGTAATATATAAAAATAATTGAGCTCAACTTAGCTAAAAAACAACTAATTTTAATAAAATTAAATTAAATAAATCCAAATTAAAGTAAAATAAAATTTAATAAAAAAATTAAGTAATATACAAAATAAAAAAGTAAAATTAGAAATTTCAAAATAAAATAAAATAGAAAAAAAAATTAAAAAATAAATTAAAAGTTCAACTAAAATAAAATAAGCTACACCTAAATTAAATTAATATTTCATAATATTAAATTAACTATAGCCAAACAAAATAAAATTAAATATTTCTTAATTAAGGGAAATTAAAAATAAATAAATTAAACAGATGTAAAATAAAATAAAACCAAATAAAATTAACATAAAACAAATATAAGTAAAATAATATCAAATAAATTGAAATAAAATAACACAAAATGAAACGAATAAAATAAAATCAACTATAATATAATAAAACAAAATTAAATAAATTAGATGGAAATAATATTAAATTTAAAACATCTGTAAATTAAATAAAAATGTTAAATGAAGTTATGGTATTTAAAATAAAAAATAAATATAAAAAAGTAATATACAATATAAAATAAAATAAAAAACTAAAATAAAATAAAACTAAAGTTATTATTATGAAAAAATATTAAATAAAAACAAATACAAACATTACAAAAAGAAAATAAAATGAAAAATAAAATAAAAAAATAAAATAATTATCTAACATAATCATAATCAACTGAAATCATAATCGACTCAAATCAAATAAACTAAAAATGAATAAATAATATTAAGCCAAGTTAAATTAAATTTAAATAAATAAATCTAATAAAACTAAATTAAATAGTAATAATATAAGGAAAGTGAAATAAAATAAAATGAAATAAATTCAAAT